CGGCCTCACTGGAGGTCGGAGCATGAGTGTCTCACATGATACATGAGCTTCGTGGCATGTGCACACCCTGAAAACCCAGGGGAAAGGACTCCAGCACTGCCATGGTGTAGCTTTTAGGGAAATGGAGGCAAAGGCACCCTCCCTCAAAACTGTCCTCCCTCTGCCCCATCCGTCTCCCAGAACCACGACGTCAGGACGGCTTCAGCAAACTCCATCACTTCTTTGAGGCTGAAGGACTTTAGTCCACTTCGTATGTTTCATCCTGGGGAGGGAAGAGCTGTCTGTTTCACCGAGGAAATGTAAAAGTAGCAGTCTGCTGGGTCAGCCCAACCTTTAAAGCCCTGCATCCACCCAACCTCTACACACAAAAACACTCCAGCTTTCCACCTAGATAATTATTAAATTGTAATATAAAGCCTAACTTCTGCTTAAGTATGCGTGATTATTAGACTACAAGTCAATTGCGGATAACACGCAGATATAAATGCAGCTAATAAGTCTTGCTGTAATGATTAATCAATTTATGAATACATTATTTAAACTAATAGCTCAGGTAGGGTATCTTAAACAAGTTACAGAGTACATTGACCAATTCAAATACCAGCTGCCGGATCAATAGGAAACTGTAAGTAAACTCTGGGGAATAGGTATACTTGCAAAAAGAAAGAAAGAAAGAAATCTGCGAACAAAAGGGTCTTGGATGAAGGAAATCTACTACAATTTCAATTAAGACAAATGTAGAGCACTGTAATATATACCAAAGCTTAAAGTGAAAGTTAAAAAAAGAAAAAGTGCATTACTGCAAATGGTGCTCTTTCCCCAGCCTGTGTGGTAATGATAATTAAGGGCAGGTCATACATACATACATTTGCCCAAAATTTTGCATACTTTCACAAATAAGCTGTATTAAAGTTAACTTTGATTGCTTAAAAAATGATGCATGGGGTTCACTTCATCACAAGGTACCATATTTACCTATGTATATATAAACGTCCCTTTAACAGAAATGAAAAAAAAAAGAAAAAAGTGTGTCTAAAAAGTAAGATGAGCAATTTTCCTGCAAGAGGACTCATGTTCCAACTGAGACACCAGAGGACACCTGTTCTGTTAGAGCCCAGAGGCACCCCCCGCTGTTAACCACAGAGGGGTGGTTTGGGAGCCAAGCAAACCCTCAAGTTTTCACTCTCTCCTTTCCCAAGTTTTTTTTTTAAATTAAGGCTAATTAATGTTTAATAAATAAACCAAAAGGGCCTTGATTTACAAAGAAGTGATATTTTATCACAGCTTCAAGTGATGCTGCATTTTAAAAAATTAATTAGTATCTTGCGAGATCGGCCACACGTTATTGAATAAGAGCAGCTAAGTGAGGCAGATGAAATATTGGTAAGCAATGCAGCCCACAGTATAAGTATGTGAAGGGGGTCAGAGGTTAATCCCTATTGATTTTCCAAGTCTGCGTACAGCACCGCTGGGAAAGGCTGGTTCTGTTGGCAATCAGCTAGCACAAATACATTATAAATCTTACTGTCCACCTTCACTGATCAGTGTCACTTACTTCCTTCGCTAAAGACCATTAAGAAACTACTGGAGAAAAAAAAAATCTACCCAGATGCGGGCAGAAAGGAAAGCATTTTAAAAGTCTCCCGTGTCAGAGCACGCTTTAGTGGGTGGAGGACTTTTCCTGAAAGCAGAGGCGCACTTCCTGGGAGCTGGACTCTCTCACTGAAGGTGACATGCATAAAACAAGGAATATTTCTCAAACGACTCCAATGCCAAAGTAAAATGGTAGAAGGAGCTTTCACTGGAGTGCATGGGGGGAAAAAACAAGAATTAAATGAAGGAGTCAAACACGGTCCTTGACATTGATGAGAAGCATCTCCAGCTTGGTTCTGCGACATTTTGGCCTTGGCACAACCTTGAAGCTGATGAACAATAAGCCTCAGGGCCTCTCATAACTATGGGCTCCTTCCAAGAGTCTTGCATCCTTCCAAGAGTCTGCACCAAAAGTTTCTCCCTCTCCTAAAGTGGGCCCCCAACACGCGTAAGCTTAGGCCCTCAACACACGTAAGCTTAGGCCCTCACAAACTCAGTTGCCCACCTCCAGTGCACTTCCAGGAACATCTATGAATGACTGGTTCTTTTTCAAGCCTCTTCTTCTTTTAATAGATTGTGCCACATGTCTCCGGCAAGCACAACAAATTAGATGAATAAGATACGGTGTCCTTCCTAGAAAAATGAAACCCATTTCCAACGTCACACCATCGACTCAAACGACATGATCCTGAGAAACAGTCATGGTGCTACTAAGTGCTCTGCCACTGACCAGCTCTGTGACACTCCACGATTACCTAACCTCTCTGAGCCTCTGTTTATTCACTATAATTAAGGTAGTAGATAATAATAGTGAGGACAATAATACTGGTGGGGAATTTAGAAATCACAGGAAAAGTACTTAACACAAGGCCCAGTAAGCATTCAATAAATGTTGGTCAGTTAAAAAAAAAATTGTGGAGCTGCCTGACAACGAGAAAAACAAGTGCTGTCTTTCAACTCCTGTTTCACTAGTGATGATGAGGGAATTATGATGTAAAAATACATGGAGCCATCTGATCCGCCATTCCATCAAAATAGGTGACCTGCTTCTTAGAGCGGGCGTGACAATAACAAGCAGCTTTGAAGTTATTACTATTTAGAAACAGATTTAAAGGGAAAAAAAAGCATATGAAAGCAAAACATACCAGGAATGTAGATGCTGGGAAGGTCAGCATGAGCCAGGGATACAGAGAGGGTTAAGGAAAATTTGGACAGGGAAGAGTTCCCTCTCTGCACAGAAATTATGGATTTTATTTTAAAGGGCCAGCACCAGAGAGATGAATAGAAAAGTTTCATAAATATGTCATTCTTGTACAGTTTTCACAAACACAGTTCTCCTATCATCCATACCATACACACACACACACACACACACACACACACACTTCCCCTGTCCTAAGCAAAATACTTGGCATGCTTGAAAAAGTTCCAAAGAATATGGCCTGAATGTTGGGAAAACACTCTCTACCTTTGCAATTTTCAGACTTTTCTCAACTAGGCTCAGTGCAGTCAAGTGCTGATATCAAAGTATATTTGAAAAAAATTTTTAAATACCTTTAAATTAAGGAGTAGAAGGTGGGGACAGCTCTCCCACCATTTATGATTAAAAAAAGGCACACCCTGCACAGTTCCCATCAAAGTGTTCAGTCTCTGTGCCACGACTCTTTGTTTCTATCAGTGGAGCTTTTTTTTTTTTCTGACAAAATAACTTTCATTTCAGGATTTTTGACTCTACTGAAAGGATGTTCTTCTAGTAGGCAAAGGATAAACAGGACATGATCCCAAATGAACAGTGAAAACCAAGACAAGCAGAAGCCACAAATTCTTTTTAAAACCCAAGAGGCTCCAGACTGCTTTAATGGTACACCTTTGTTGGTTAGAGAAATTCAGGGCCTATGCCTCAGGATATGTCTCTTTGTAAATTGTGAACTTGAACCATTCTATTAGCTACTGTCTCAAGGTATGGGATAGGGTTAGCATGATGTTAGCATTAAAAATAATATATGCATTTCACATCTTTTTGCTAATTTAGATTTCTGCTTTGTGAATGATTTCTGAGATCTGATCAAATCGTCACCGCGTTTACCTTGGAAGAAAGGAAGGGCTCACATTAGGAGTAACTAAACAGCTAGTGGCTACTAACAATGAAGCTCCAGCAGGTTAACTAGTTCTCTGTAAGTTAACTATCCTCGACAAGACAGAGTTCAATTCTGTACTCCATCCATTTGCCTCAAAGAAGGCAAGGCTGCTTAAACGAGATCAAGCAAGCCAGTTTCTGGGCTCTGAAGCGAAGAGAATCATCACTTGGAGCCTCTAGTTTCTCTTGCCTCTCACATGCTCCATTTTGTTTGTCACTGGCGGTGCTGCCCTCAGGAAGGGGCAGTGACTGAGGGCACCAGTGGGTCAGCATGACTGGAGGCCTTTAGTTGGTGCCAGCCAGGCTTTTCCTAGCTCAGCTTGGTTTTTGCTCCTGGTTTGGGGCTTGAGCCTTGGCTCAGGGAACTCTAAATCCTGCCTCTGACCACTGTCCACGCTCCAGGACAGATACTTACACCACTTTCTCTCCTGCCCTGGCCCCTGTCCCCAACTTGCAAAGGACTATCCACATTCTACAGATGGGTCTGAGTCAACTCTCCCCATGACAATGGCCACATGATTCTCTGGTGGCCACCAAACCAATGGCAATCTGTTCTAGAGACTGGATCCATCTTATCTGTTTTCACTATTTCTTTTACATGACACCACAAAGAGACATCATTCTAAAACCACAGTCTTCATAGTATTCAGTATCCTGGTATTTACCACCAATGGTATTAGCTTTATAAATTATAAAGTCCAAATAAACTATAGTCATACCATAGTTTCAACATTATAATGAATGTTACAACCCAAGGCTGAGTTAGGTCTCTCCTGCTACTTGTTAAAATCATTTGCAGATGTCTTTAATGTCCCCACTAGATAATGAGATTCTTAAAGGCAATGACTGATCCAAACTCAAATTCATACCCCTGATGTCTGAAGCAGTGCCAGACAGGTAATAGGCACTCAGCACATACTAGATGGATAGGAGGGTGGGTGGATAGATGGATGGATGGATGAATGGATGGATAGATGGATGGAAGGATGGATGGATGGATGGATGGATGGACTTCTACAATGCTGAAACTGCTAGTTAATCCAAACAGAGAGAAAGGAAACAATTCAAAAACTCTGCCTTTCTTACCAAGTTATATTTTCCCTTCTTTTCCAAACCCTCGTTCCTTATGCGAAACAAAGCGAACATTGCTAAACCCTACTTATGTTTTAGGAAGGCTGGGTATCCACGTTTTTGACTTCAACAGCCATGGCACGCTGCTCCATCGATCACCACCAATTAGTGACTTCTACAGAATGACAAAAAGGAAGGAAGAAAGAGGCCACGACGGAAACATCAAAACCAAATGAAATACTGGAAACCAGTTAATGAAATTACATTACAGATTCAGCTTACTCAGAAAGGACTGGTCCAAAGGAGGGGTGGGGGGACCCCCACTACCAGAACCAGCTGTCTAGTTTGAACTGCTAGATTGCTGAGCACACACTGGATGCATATTCATAGGTACCATAGGAAATTAAGCACCTTTGGAACCAGCATTAAAACTCTCTCCTGCCAGCTGGAGCAGTGAACCGGTAATTCAATGGCCCCCTTGTGGCCCGGAAGAATTAATGCAGCCTTCCAAGGTGTGAAGGCTCTTCTGGGGTGGGGTGGGGCAGGCATGGAGCCCCCTAAGAGGAGGCGACCCTGCTGAACCACATGTAAAGGTGTCAGACTTGGCCCTGTTTTGTGAAGAAAGGGCAATGCATCATCATCCATGCTTTCTCCTTCCAGAGTCTGAAAAGGAACCCCAGTGTTCACGCTTGTTCAAAGGAACACATGTTTAAAGGAGGAACAGATCAAACGAGTTCGGTTTTTCCATTTAAAAATATCATTTAAGGGAATTTGAAGCTGCCTGAGAAGATGGATACACTGTGTTTGTTTTCTACATTAATGAGCTATAAAAAGAATGGAATGGGCCATAAATACGGTATTTTGTAACAGCCTTTACTAAAAATGCTACTGCTTGTGTTTATCATTTATACCCTTGTATACAACCTCAAAATTGATTACACTTTAAACCGTACATAACTTGCTGTGTTTTTCATTTTGTGCGATACTACAAACGTTTTTATAACTCAGTTAATATATTCCATATTTTGTGTTCTTATTGATTATGAATATTTCTTTAGGGGATTTTATTGCTTTTAAAATAACAAATGTTGGGTATTAAAAAAACAGAAAAACCTATTGGAGCCTTTATATTTTTCTTTCCCCTGGTAATTCTAATACATAGATTTGAGCATGAACATAACCAGAATATCTTTCTCTGTATCTTTTATACCACCTCACATTAAAAT